TAGAAATGACCGTGAAAGTAAAACTAAGCTGCTTCCCTGGGAGTGTAATTTATGTTACACTTCCAAAAGACCATCTGGCAAATCACTAGCAAGTAACAGGAATCTTAGGAAACTATTTTAATTGTCCACAAATAGTAGAATTAAGGTTCAAGCTCATTATCTAGGACTTAAGAGGCAAGTGATCCAGTTAAAACCTGAATTGCATAAGAATTCTTGAATCAAAATATAGGTATACATCAAGGCCTCAGCAATAAGGGAACCAAACTCAAATTCTAGAAGTATTTCATCAGTAGTTCTTCTCAGTCTCTCTGAATACATTAACTTTTACTCATCTTACTGAAGACCCACTTTCTCCATGCTGTAGGTAACTTGGCTTCCTTTAATTACCTGAATGGCATTATTAAACTTGCTGGGTCTCAGATCCCCAGATCCCAGGGAAGGGTATACTTATGCTTGAACCAAACCACTTTCGTCAGCATATGGTTTGTGTTGCACTGATTGTACAAAGCTTTTATTTTTAGAGCATCCACTTTTTTTATATATTGGTCCTACTTTGCTACAATCATTCATTTATTCTTCTGATGTAGGGATTATGAGCATTTTATGCCCCACAGTATTACAGGTGTTTTAATCCACTGGTTACAGAATATAATAAAGTGCTTTTCTCAATAATAAATCATGTCAACTTTAAGAAACAATATTTACTAAGAGAATTTAAGGATATGGCCACAAATAATTAATAGAACAATTGAGACAAGGAGAAGGATGCACTTATTGTTGTCAGGAATAGTTGATTGATGACAGCATAATTTCTTCATGAAGAATTTATGTTACACTCCCAAAAGACCATCTGGCAAATGTTCTCTGGATGTTTACCTGTATATTTTCAGTTTAATAACAATTCCAGACATCTTTTAATTAATCACATCTGTCAAATGCTGTTGAAGACCATCAGCTAAACAGGATTTCCTTAAGGACAGTCTAGTTCGAGTGACAAACTACAGATTTCATTCACTCAGAAAAAGAGGCTTGAAAATGTGACATGTTCATTTTCAAAGCTCTTTCTTAAATTCCAGAGAATATAGAAAATGTAGGATACATTTTAATATATGTGTATATGTATAGATGAAAGAGTGGGTATGTATGTAAGTTTCTAATATAATAGGTGACCCAGGTGATATTTTCGGTTGCTATCAGAAACATAACATTCATATGTCATGTGCACACAAGGATATCTGACCAGCTCTTCTTCAAAGATGTGTAGGGAGAGGAACAGGTAGGGTAGCATCTCTTTTTCTTATGTCTCGTTCATTGTTTTTGCAGTTTTGTTATGATATGCTGAAGTAATGAGTTAAACCTAAAATTTCAGTAGCTGAAACTAACAATAATTTTTTTTCTGTGAAACATAGTCAATTCAAATTAGTATCTGGGGTTTGGTGGGAGCTTAAATCATTTTCCCTCAGAACCCTGGCTGACAGAGTCTCCACCAGTTTATATTTGAACCATCTACATGGCATATCCCAAACATGTAATAGGCAAAGAGGCACTAAATGGTCTTCCACTTGTAATTAAGCACTTTGCTTTGGAATACTCATGTGTGGTTTCTTTTGCCAGAAATAGTCACATGGCCTCACTTCCAAAAATATTGAGAAATATAAGAAAGAACAACGAGATAATAAGTAAACCGACTGCCCTGTCTTTGTCATACTATATTCTAGGATTGTATTTGTTGAGCAAGATAAATTGGATTAACCAAACAATTGGATAATTTGAAAAGTTTGTCCCAGAAGCATAAATTCCTCAATTTCGATGAGCTCGTGTGGTTCAAATTCAAATTTTATTTTTATAGTGATCTCATTTTTGAGAAAATTTTCACTTCACTTCTCCCAATGGATAGATGCTTATTTCAAGATTCACTGTGGCCTATTATTGTCAACACATCAAAATTTTTGCCTATTTTGCAGCACATAGTTCAGCCTGATTCTACCATTCACTCTAATTTATGTGATGTGTATAATTAAATTCAGCCCTGCTTGGTTTCTCATATTCTCAGGTTAACCACAATGATCTCAACTTCCGTTTGGTGTCATCTCTTGGCATGCATATCTGAACATTAAGTCCTACTGAAAAAATGAAAAGCAAAGTGCAAGGACATGAGATGAGTTCATCATGAAATGATAAACTTCTTTTATACCCAAATTCATGTGGGACAACGAATTTGAAAATAATGCTTTCATTTTTTTTTAAAATTTTCTATACTAAACAGTTTCCTAGTAACTAATACAATGTTTTGACTCTTTAGTATATTTAAACACAAAGATCCAGGGACAAATTCTTCATCTGAATACATCTAAGAGACAAACTGTTCAAATGTTTTGAAAAATTTTGGTGACATTAAGGGAGAAAAAAAAATAAATGTAAAATACTAAGATCTTTCTTTCTCTTTATTCCAAGGTCACAGCACATGTAAAAAATGTGATGAATTATTACTTTCCTCCTGATTTTTATACTGAGGATGTAGTTCTGCTTTTAACAGTCATCTAGCACCTGAGATGGATGTAGAAACTCAATGGGTCAGAGAAGACTTGCTAACAGCTAACTCCACCTAGAGAAACAAAACATATAAACATACATACACACACACACACACACACACACACACACACACACAAATACACAAACCATTGTTTCTGTGATATAAAGTTAATTGCTGATTGAGAACTTATTGCATAGGATAGAAAATAAAGCTTAATTATCTGCACATACTTAACCTTCTCTTTCCCCTCTTGTCCCTAATTTCTTTCTATTGAAGAGCAGGTTGAGTGAAAAACTTTAATACCTATGTCTGGCTATTTACTCTAAGCTACCCTCTTATTCTGCATTGTCCCAAATGACCATTAGAGTTGAAATGGATAAAAAATAAATGAGATATTGATGAACTACAGTGGTAATCAGAGTAACAAATAGCATTAAAGTTGTAGGAAACATCAGGCCTTCTTTTGAAAAGTGATTAGCATAGCACTTTAAAATATTTTTATTTTCATTTAATGACAATTTAAGGAGCAATCTGAAAGGAAAGTGCTGAATTTAGCAGGTACAAAATGTCTACCTATTTAATAAAATATCACAAACTGATTCTGAATTAGATTCAGTAGCAATTCAAATTGCATATAGAGAGACATATTCTCCAGTGGGGAGTCTTGTAAAGAATCTCATTTATTATAGATCAAAGTTACTTTTGCTTCATTCAAATATGAATGAATACTTATATGACCATCTAGGAAAAGACTTTGTGGAATAGCATTTCTCGTGATACTTATTTTTTGCAAGATTTTTTTTGAAAACATCTAAGTCACTGTTGTGGGTTCTTAGAGATGAACCATCTGTCACGAACCAGAATAAATATTTTATTGTAGCTTATTAAGAGAGGAAAAGTTGCTAGGAAAAAAACATTTAAAGTGTAAAATTGGTTATTGGTGAATTTCTTTCCCACAGAGGTCTTTAAAAAGCAGATTAGATGTTTATCCGTGAAAATAGTTTTGACTTTGCAAATAGGCAATTATCTCATAGTGTAGAATGGTAGAATCACCAAGAAGGTGGAGAAGGCATGGGGAAAGAAGGAAAACAGAGGAGCACAGCAGACTGTGTGTGTTTGTGAGAGAAGGGGAGGGAGAATGAAAATGAGGATAAGAAAGCGGGAAGGGATGCATCTCTTAGGGCATTGGCCCAAGCACAGAAGGATGCAACCTTTTGGGGTATCAGCGTGTGGAATTGAAATCAATGAGATGGCAGAGAGCTTCATAGTTAGGTGATTCCTGAAGCGTTTAAGCTTGGGACAGGGACTTTGGAGAGATAATGGGTAAAAAAAGTGAAAGTTTGCATCAGTTACTTTCTTCTAGATATTTTATCCTTCAGTCATTTAAATCATAAGTTAACAATATTGAATGATCCTCACCAAGTCCTACATCTACAGAGAACATATTA